GTATAGAGAGGTCGCCAGCTCTATCGTGTTATCAGCATACGATGTTATGTAGAATGGTTCTACACTAACCCTAACCCTAAAGTCAGGTCTATTGTATAGAGAGGTCGCCAGCTCTATCGTGTTATCAGCATACGATGTTATGTAGAATGGTTCTACACTAACCCTAACCCTAAAGTCAGGTCTATTGTATAGAGAGGTCGCCAGCTCTATCGTGTTATCAGCATACGATGTTATGTAGAATGGTTCTACACTAACCCTAACCCTAAAGTCAGGTCTATTGTATAGAGAGGTCGCCAGGATGTATTTGCTTCATATGCGTTTTCTTTTTGACAATGGATTAAATAACAAGCTATCTTGGTGCTGTAACGGCAGGGAATGACTCACTTCTTTATGCATGTTTATGTATCGCTAGTGTCTCTCTGAATTTATTCTCTCTGAATTTGCACTATATTTTTATTATATTATATACATTATCCATATGCGGTGATATTCACCCGAACCCCAGTCAACACAACTCCAACATCCACCTAGATTTTATTTCTATTTGTCATATTAATATTTGTTCGTTAAGGAACAAAACTCATATTATTGATGCTGAGTTCTCCGGATACGTTCCTTTACCAATATTTCAGTTATATAACGCCAGTTTTTTCCCGAAACTGATGTCTGAATGGAATACTCAAACTTGCCTGTTTCCTTAGGCAAAGGTCACTCAATTTTGTATCAATGGTGGGTGTGGCCCCTTTTGAGGTAAAGGAGCGGGCCCAATAGGAGAAACAGAAGTAAAACCTGTAAAACCTTCTTCTATCGTAGGGATGAAAACATATTATGTTAATTTAGTCTGGAGCATCTTTAGGCCAAGGGGATTCAATTTTGTAAAAACGGTAGGTGTTGCCCCCTGGGGGGCAGAGGGACGAAGCCGAATAGGAGAAATAGTGGTAAACCTTTAAAATCCTTCTTCTAGCATAGGGATTAAGGGATTTCATCCAAATTTGGTCTCCTTGGAGTGGAGGAGCGGGGTCCAATAGGGGAAACATAGCACATTCTTTAAAATCCTTCTTTTCCTGAAGGAATAACAGGATTATGTCCAATTGCATATAAATATAACCCCTGACTTACCATGTAATACCCCCCCCACACACACACACCTTGTTCTTTCTTCCATTTCATCTAAACTGGTCTGTTTTACATCTGATGTAATATTAGCAAAATAAAGATCACTGTTTATCTCAACAAGGTCCTTGATCTTGATGTTAGTTCACTTGGCCAGGTGAACTAACATCAAGATCAAGGACCTTGTTGAGATAAACAGTGATCTTGATTTTGCTTATGAACTAGTTCATTTTGCTTATGCCGTCCGTCGTCTGGCGTCAATATTTTACTTTAAACAACTTCTTCTGAATAATCAAAATGCCCAGGGTGATGATATTTGTTTGATAAGTTTGTTCAAATAAATGACCTTTACTTATATTCAAGTTCACAGGGGTCAAATATGTTTAAAAAATGTAAGCAACCTATCGGCGCCCCAAACAGACTCAACAACATTATTACTAGACCCTTTAAGAACCTCTGTACATAAAATCAACATCTTAACACTTTTATTAAGTGAACGGTGAGCCATTACAAAACTTTAAACCAAACTTTAACTTTAGATTTTGGCCAAGATAGTTAAGTCGAAATCATGTCAAGGGTCAAATATGTTAAAAACTTTAAACAACTCCTTCTTAATAACCAAAATGCCTAGGGTGATGATACTTGGACAGTAGCATGCTGGTATAAAGGGCTACCAAGTTTGTTCAAATGAATGACCTTCATCCATTTTCAGGGTCACAGGGGTGAATTATCTTTTAAAATCGTTTAACAACTTCTTCTGAATAACTAAGAGGCCTAGGAGAATGATATTTGGACAGTAACATGCTAGGATGAAGGGCTTCCAAGTTTGTTCAAATTAATGACCTTGTCAAATGATTAAGGTCACAGGAGTCAAATATGTTTAAAACCTTTAAACAAATTCTTCTGAATAACCAAGAGGCCTAGGATGATGATATTTGGCCAGTAACATGCTAGGATGAAGGGCTTCCAAGTTTGTTTAAATTAATGACCTTTTCAAATATTTAAGGTCACAGGAGTCAAATATGTTTAAAACCTTTAAACAACTTCTTCTGAATAACCAAGAGGCATAGGATGATGATATTTGGCCATTAACATGCTAGGATGAAGGGCTAACAAGTTTATTAAAATGAATGACGTTTACTTATATTCAAGGTCACAGGTATCAAATATGTTTAAACCTTTAAACAACTTCTTCTGAATAACTAAAAATCATAGGATGATGGTTTTAGGCGAGTAGCATGCTGTGATGAAGGGCTACCAGGTTTGTTCAAATGAATGACCTTGACTTATATTCAAGTTTAGAGGGGTCAAATATGTTTAAAACCCTTAAACAACTTCCTCTGAATAACCAAGAGGCCTAGGATTATGATGTTTAGCCAATAACATGCTAGGATGAAGGGCTACCAAGTTTGTTCAAATGAATGACCTTCGTCCATTTTCAAGGTCACATGGTTATATTGTCTTAAAAATCTTAAAACAATATTTTAGCTCACCTGGCACGAAGTGCCAAGTTCGCTTATGCCGTGGTGCGGCGTCCGTCGTCCGTCCGTCCGTCGTCCGTCGTCCGGTGTCAATATTTTACTTTAAACGACTTCTTCTTAATAACCGAAAGGCCTAGGGTGTCGATATATGGTCAGAAGCAAACTGGGATGAAGGGCTACAAAGTTTGTTCAAATTAATGACCCTTCACCCATTTTCAAGGTCACAGGGGTCAAATATGTTAAAAACTTTAAACATCTTCTTCTCGATAACCAAACTGCCCAGGTATATGATATTTGACCAGTAGCATGCTTGGGTAAAGGGCTACCAAGTTTGTTCAAATGAATGACCTTCAATTATATTCAAGGTCACAGGGGTCAATTGTCTTAAAAAACCTTTAAACAACTTCTTCTGAATAACCAAACTGCCGAAGGTGATGATATTTGGCCAGTAGCATGCTGAGATGAAGGGCTACAAAGTTTGTTCAAATGAATGACCTTCACCCTTATTCAAGGTCACAGGGGTCAAATATGTTAAAAACTTTAAACATCTTCTTCTCGATAACCAAATTGCCCAGGGATATGATATTTGCCAGTAGCAAGCTTGGGTGAAGGGCTACCAAGTTTGTTCAAATGAATCACCTTGACCAACTTTCAAGGTCATAGGGGTCAAATGTCTTTAAACATCTTTCAACAACTTCTCCTCAATAACCAAAAGGCCCAGGGTACTGATATTGGGCCTGTAGCATGCTGAGATGAAGGGCTACCAAGTTTGGTTAAATGAATGACCTTGACCAACTATCAAGGTCACAGGGGTCAAATGTCTTTAAATCTTCAAACGACTTCTTTTAAATAATCAAAAAGTCCAGGGTACTGAAATTTGGGCTGTCGCATGCTGGAATGAAGGACTACCAAGTTTGTTTAAATGAATGACCTTGACTAACTTTCAAGGTCACAGGGGTCAAATATATTAAAATCTTCAAACAACTTCTTCTCAATAACCAAAAGGCCTAGGGTACTGATATTGGGCATGTAGCTTGATGGGATGAAGGGCTACCAAGTTCGTCAAATGAATGACCTTGACCCACTCTCAACCTAATGTCCTTGTTTGACATTCAAGGTCACAGGCGTCATATGTTTAAATCTTTTATAGGTTCTTATGAATCAAAAACTGATATTCTGCCTGTAGCTGTATTTTAGTCCACTTTTAAGGTTATAAGTGTGAGATTAATACCAGGTGAGCGATGCAGGCCCATTGGGCCTCTTGTTATAAGTTGCCATCATTTTCAGGAGAGGGTGATAGCACTTTTGAGCTATGGCAGTATGAGGTGCAGTGTTTGATAAAGTCGGGGAAGCATTTAGAAGTTATTGGACAGTCCATAGGGAGATCATTACGAGGTACTGCAGCAAATGTTGTTATGACATTGGGACCACGAGCAAAGCCGGACATGATTATCACCAAGCTTCGAAGTCTGTATGGTGTTGTCATTACTTGAAAATGTTTACTCCTCACATCAGATGTCCGATGAGAATGTGGCAGGTTGGGCATGCAGACTGGAAGGCCTTTTGACTCGTGCCATTCAAGCAGATACATCGCAAGATACTGTCATCCATGTATGAAGTGGTGGGAACACATCTTCAACAGTTTTTGTCTGCGGGAGTCATTCGTCCATTCCATAGTCCATTTGCCTCGGATATTGTCCTTGTCAGGAAGAATGACGGTTCTTTGCGAATGTGCGTAGATTTCAGGCAGTCATCTTCCTACCTCTTGCCCACAGAGTTTCCAACTCCCCTTGATGACTCATCTGTTGTTTGTCGGCAAACTCTTTCCGTAACTTGTCTGTCTGTAATTGATGCTGGTGTTCCCTCTCTCTCCTTTCACTCGCATGTCTAACCAGACATGCCTTATACCTAGCAATTACAGCCTCCCCATCTTGGTGGGATGCCTCAACTTGTCCGACGCCCCCAGTCCCTGAGACCGGCTCAAGTGGTTCACAGGTGATAACACTCTGATTGAGAAGTGGGTCCCAAATGGTACTGGGGATGTTAGGTATTTGCTTCAGCTTCCCCAGAGTTATCTCTCCACATTCCTTCCTTTTCTTCAAGATAGCCTCAGCCCTGACATCTTGAATCTTTGGGATAGATGTTAATTCCTCCAATGAGGCTGTATTCATATTAATTGCATCCATAATCAATATGACAATATGACAAAATGTATGACTCGGCTATGTTAAATAAAATGTTGATGAGGTTACCTCACCTAACAAATATAAATAACTAAAAGTGACTTACAGAAATAACAATAACACAGATATTAAAAACTGAAAACAAAGGCAGAAAAATTGATGTTTTGAATGACTGATGAGGATACCTCACCTAGTCACCACACCTTCTTCAATATTACCTTACCTACGGCACCTCCAACAGCTCCTCCTGGTCTACTGAAATCTGTAGAACATCTGTGGTTGAGTGCTCAGAAGGTTTATTGACAACTTTATTGTCTTCATCTACACACCTTTCGCCGTTGTCATCAATGAGGTATTTGATCCAGCACAAACTCAAATAGGTACCCGGGTGTACCCCATAAGACAGCAGGGATATTTTGAGTGGATATTTTGATTTGGCCTTGCCCCTAGATTTTGATTCCTGATCAGAAACTGACTGAATGTCAGGGTGTTTTGCCCAATCTTCAGATTCAAAGTAAGTATTTATCGTTGAGGTTTGCGACCTGAGAAGAAATCAGCTTATCCTCCTCAATAAAAAGGTATGGATTCCTATAATTCCTGATCCTATTCCATACTGCCGATGAATTGGTTGGAATTTCCACAAATTTTAGTTCCACTGCTCCAGGATACTGGTTAACAACGACCCTCCTAAATTCTGCCAAAATACTTGCCACAGTGTTCTTTCCATTCGGGTCCCTTATTCTAATACATTTATGTCTTTTTAGAGCCTTTTGAATTCGATGTTTAACTAAATGGGCGAGTGACGGTGTCGTAGCTCCTACAATACACCACAGTTCCAAAGGAAAACACTCATTTTTAACGTGGTACTGCTTTCTGAGTGTAAATCCCTTACTGTCAGAAACCAAAATCGGTTTCCTAATAGGCTTATTTGCCGGTCTGCTCCGTATATATTCCTGTTCCTGTACAGTTTTCATCATGTAATACAGTGACAAATAATAATATATTTGTATTCAATTTAGAAAACGGCTGGTAAGGGTGCCTCACCTAGCCAGACCAAAAACACAAAAACATAAATTCAAATATGGCGCCCACCGACGTCACAACTCTCCGCTGTGAAAAGTGACATAACACAGCGGAAGAAAACCTTCTGACATCAGTTGTTGTGGGTTCACATGTTCAAGACTGTTACCTGAGTGGGTCGGTATCTTGACCTTGTCCAGTTAGAAGAACTGTCTGAAGAGCTCGAAGACCGTCAGCGCGGAAGTCAGGCGTCACTACCTTGCAGGGGAACCGGACGCCAGACCATCAATTCCGTATCCAATGAATATAAATCCAAAAACAACAATACTATACAGAGACAGTGTCATATTTTCCCAGTTTTTATCGAATCTCCCAAAAGTCTTTTAAAACATCCTTAAACCTTGAAACTTTGTTTCTCGCAGTTTCTTGTCATACAAATATTGTTTAGACAATCAGTACTGTAAAGGTATGTTTAGGTCACCTGAGCTTTGCTTAAGTGACCTATTCTGATCGCTTTCCGTCCGTCGTCGTCCGTCGCACGTAAACTTTTTACATTTTCGACTTCTTCTCAAGAGCAAGTGGATGGAATTTGTTCAAACTTGGTCAGAATCATCCTTAATAGATGAAGCTACGAAAGGATAAAATTTGAATTCCTACCCTAATCCCAGCGACCAGGGGTAATAGAGTCAATTTTTCTCTGCATGTTTAAAGTGTAATTTCGGTACCCCAGTCCATCCGTTCTCCCTTGGGGAGGAGGTAAAGTTTACTATCGTGTATATAGTGAAATAAGACGTTTTGGTACATTTGATACATTTGCAGCAGGAAATTATTTAAACTTAGTCAGAATCATCTTTAGAGGAAGAGGGTCTTACAATGTAAAATGTGGATTCCTGCCCTATCCCCAGGAACTAGGGTCGGGCCCTAAAGGGAAAATTTACCAATACTTCAGTATCAGTCTTCAGACTCAGATGTGATACAATCAAAGTATGTGCATTGTTGAAATTTCCATCAGGGGCTTTAACTGTTTTATTAATTTCATTATCCCCGGGCCATCCTTCATCGATTGGGTAAGGTTGACTAAAGTTTATATAGGGAAACAAAACTTTTGCTTATATTTTGTCCGTTTTAGCGGGAAACTATTCAAACCTGGTTGGAATTAGTATGATGCTAGATGGCAACTAGATGGTATGAGAAAATAAGATCCTTACCCATCCCCAGGGGCTGGATGGTCGGGGACCAAGTGGGGAAATTGTTTAAGTTAAAAAAAAAATCTTCTTCATCAGACTCAGATGTTTTACAAACAAATACTCTTGAATCATGGACAGAAAGGTCCTTAGGTGCATTATCTAAATTGTAAATTTCATTACCCCTCAGGTAATCTGCTCTCCCGTGGGTTTACTAGTTTATTTAGGTAAATAACATTTTTGGTATTTGTTGTCTAATGTCGGCAAGAAATTAAGCTTTGTTGGAATAATTGTGATGAGTTGGTAATTAGACGGTATGAAAAAATAATATCTGTCTTTCCCCAAAGGGCTGGAGGGTTGGGCCAAAAAGGGGAAAATTGCTGATGTACAAGATTGAAGTTTTTTTATGGATTGAAATGCCCTTAGGTGCATTATATAAACTGTTAGTTATATTACCTTTTGGTCATCGGTTTATATAGGGGAATAACACTTCTGACTATATCTTGTCCTTTTTCAGCAAGAAATATTTCAAACTTGGTTGGAAAATAGAATGAAATAGAAATCGAATAGTATTAGAAAGGAAGATCTTGAACTATCCCAGGGGTTGGCCATAGAGGTAAATAACAATATATATTTCTCAGTAGCAAAATGGTTTATTTGAACAGTTTTTAAAGTTCTTATCCTTTAATGACATGACAAGTATTGTATTTCACTAGTTCCACATGACATCTCAACAATGAAATTGAGCTACCTATAATATAACTCAGTGGACCGCTAAGCCCCTGTGCCTCTTTTTGGCTCACCTGCCCGAAGGGCAAGTGAGCTTATGCCGTGTCGCAGCGTCCGTCGTCCGTCGTCAACTTTTTCTTTAAAACCTATCTCCTCCTAAACGCCAAAGAGGATTTCAACCAAATTTAGTCTGAAGCATCACTAATCATTTCTTAAATAGATGAGGTTGGTTCGATCCCTGAGGCCAGGGGGGCGTGGCCCTGAAGGTTAACTTAGCTAAATTTGCTTTAAAACGCATCTCCTCCTAAACACCAGAGAGCATTTCAACCAAATTTAGTCTGAAGCATCAGTAGCGATGGACATTCATTTCTTAAACAAATGAGGTTGGTTTGACCCCCGAGGCAACGGGGGCGGGGCCCTGAAGGGGAACTTAGCTTAATTTGCTTTAAAACGCATTTCCTCCTAAACACCATAGAGGATTTCAGCCAAATTTAGTCTGAAGCATCAGTAGGGATGGACATTCATTTCTTAAATAAACGAGGTTGGTTTGACCCCCGAGGCCACGGGGGCGGGGCCCTGAAGGGGAACTTAGCTTTATTTGCTTTAAAACGCATCTCCTCCGAAACGCCAGAGAAGATTTATATACCGACGACTGACGAAAGGACGCATTACATCTCCTCTATATAACGACGACTGACGAAAGAACGCATTACATCTCCTCTATATACCGACAACTGACGAAAGGACGCTTTACATCGCCTCTATGTACCGACGACTGACGAAAGGACACATTACATCTCCTCTATATGCCGACGACTGACGAAAGGACACATTACATCGCCTCTATATACCGACGACTGACGACAGGACGCTTTACATCTCCTCTATGTACCGACGACTGACGAAAGGACACATTACATCGCCTCCATATACCGACGACTGACGAAAGGACACATTACATCTCCTCTATATCCCGACGGCTGACGAAAGGACACATTACATCGCCTCCATATACCGACGACTGCCGAAAGGACACATTACATCTACTCTATATACCGACGACTGACGAAAGGACGCATTACACGCTTTACATCTCCTCTATGTACCGACGGCTGACGAAAGGACACATTACATCGCCTCCATATACCGACGACTGCCGAAAGGACACATTACATCTACTCTATATACCGACGACTGACGAAAGGACTCATTACATCTCATTATACCGACGACTGACGAAAGGGCACATTACATCGCTTCTATATACAGACGACTGACGAAAGGACGCATTACATCTCCTCTATATATCGACGACTGACGCAAGGACGCATTACATCTCATTATACCGACGACTGACGAAAGGACGCTTTACATCTCCTCTATATACCGACGACTGACGACAGGACGCTTTACATCTCCTCTATACACCGACGACTGACTAAAGGGCACATTACATCGCCTCCATATACCGACGACTGACGAAAGGACGCATTTCATCTCATTATACCGACGACTGACGAAAGGGCACATTACATCGCCTCTTTATACCGACGACTGACGAAAGGACGCATTTCATCTCCTCTATATACCGACGACTGACGACAGGACTCATGACATCTCCTCTATATACCGACGACTGACGAAATATACCGACGACTGACGAAAGGACAAATTACATCGCCTCTTTATACCGACGACTGACGAGAGGACGCTTTACATCTCCTCTATATACCGACGACTGACTAAAGGACGCATTACATCTCCTCTATATACTAACGACTGACGAAAGGACGCATTAGATCTCCTCTATATACCGACAACTGACGAAAGGACGCATTACATCGCCTCTATATACCGACGACTGACGACAGGACGCTTTACATCTCCTCTATGTACCGACGGCTGACGAAAGGACACATTACATCGCCTCCATATACCGACGACTGCCGAAAGGACACATTACATCTACTCTATATACCGACGACTGACGAAAGGACGCATTACATCGCCTCTTTATACCGACGACTAACGACAGGACGCTTTACATCTCCTCTATACACCGACGACTGACTAAAGGGCACATTACATCGCCTCCCTATACCGACGACTGACGAAAGGACGCTTTACATCTCCTCTATATACCGACGACTGACGACAGGACGCTTTACATCTCCTCTTTATACCGACGACTGACTAAAGGGCACATTACATCGCCTCCCTATACCGACGACTGACGAAAGGACGCTTTACATCTCCTCTATATACCGACGACTGACAAAAGGACGCATTACATCTCCTCTATATACTAACGACTGACGAAAGGACGCATTAGATCTCCTCTATATACCGACAACTGACGAAAGGACGCGTTACATCGCCTCTATATACCGACGACTGACAAAAGGACGCATTACATCTCCTCTATATACCGACGACTGCCGAAAGGACACATTACATCTACTCTATATACCGACGACTGACGAAAGGACTCATTACATCTCCTCTATATACCGACGACTGACGAAATATACCGACGACTGACGAAAGGACAAATTACATCTCCTCTATATACCGACGACTGACTAAAGGACGCATTACATCTCCTCTAT